AAATCCTTACAATAAAGAATGATTTACACTTAGAGTAAGAATGGAAAAAAAACAAATCAATGTGTAATATTACACACCGCTATATCGGACAGATCGCCATGATAATTCTCCCCATCCCGGCTATCCTATCCAGCTCCGTTTTGAGGTTTACACGAAATTGGAAAAGACAATCTTTTGTTTTCACCTCTGATCACAACACATCTGCACTATTTGGGTGATGGGTCACGTTTACCTGATGCAACACCTTGAAGCGAGGGTGTCTCTGTTACGCTAATCGAATTACCCACTAGCTGGTTTGAAAGTCACTTCACTAGGCACTGGACAGTGATAGGACAACAGATGTACTTTTTCGACGCGTCTATTGCTAATCGGTTTGGCTACAGTAAATTCTGGGATTGGGTTTATTCGCCTCGGATGTCAAACCGTTTTCTGCTTTTGACTTACTGAATTAAAATGCTTCATCTTTTAGAAATATCTTTTGAGTTCTAGAGTACCATATGGATAGCCGTGAGATCGATAACCGAACCACAAGTAAAAATGGAATGATATTTTAAAGGCTTCAACGCAGTTATGATTAGTTCTGTGTTCTTTATTAAGAAAATATCACCCCGTACTGCCGAACGCCGAAACGATTAGATCACTCATCCCTATAGTGCAATGGTTAGAAACCTTGTTGATTGGGACCAAGACAATCCTGCACCCCCTCCCCCCGGCTGTTTACACTTCTATGTAGACGATCTAACGAATTTGTTTACAGAAACCCCCATCCCCTTTGCTTGCCTAAAAACGATTTGTGCAAACGGGAAACCTCCTGCAATGCTCCCCAACGCATGTGCCGAGTAGTTCGGAGGACTGAACGAGAAAACAAATGGTTGTGTGATAATTGTGAATCCCATATCCGCTTTCAAGACAAAATTAGCTCCAAATAATCTCTGATATTCATTTTCAGCTTAATGTTGGATTATATATATATATATATATTTACTATGATGTATACTATGTTTATAAATAACCGAAAACGAGCTGGTTCTCCACTCTATTGGCAAACTATATCTCCCTTCCCTCGACTGCTTCATCCCTAGGTTCGATCAGAATTGTGTAGCAATCCTAATCAGTCAAGATTTCTTCCACTCCCCTCCCCACCATATTAAACATTTCGACATACTATATGAGGAATTAGTCTGTAAATGAATCCTCACGGAAGGGGTTATTCACTACTATGTTGCGATGTGTAATATGATTTTATATTTCAAAAAATATACCTCAGGTTTTTGTAATGATTGTAGAAGTAGTAGTAGTAATACGCACGGAATTCGGTACACCAACCACGCAATAGG